CAGGCGGGAGTTGCTGTGTCTCGCCCCTTATTTTTTTAATGGTGTCCAATTTGTGTTACCTGCTGATGTCTGGAGGCATTCGAGTTCTGATCCTTTTTGCTGAGGTTTCTGTCTGCTGCTCTGTTTGGCCCTGTCTGCTCTCCTCCAGGACAATGTGAGCTGTTGAGAGTGTCAAATTCATCTTCAAGTGCCCAGTACTCAGCTGGAGACTGGCACAAAGCTCTGAGAAATTGTGGGAAAACATCGTATCCAACCGAACTCCAATGGGTGGCAAATATCTATGAGTGTCATAGAAGTGATGCTTCAGGTCAGCCTTGAAGGGAGGGCAGGGTTTCCAGCAGCTGAGGCAGGAGTGACCTCATCAGTCCTATGTTCATCAGGTATTTGCAGTGTATTAAATCACATTCTGCCTCTGTAGAAAGCTCACAACGACTCTGTGAGGAAGATGCCATTGTTGTCACTACCCTGTTTCACACATGAGCAAGCTGGAGCTTAGAGGTTTTGGTGACTCCTGCCATGTCTCACAGCCATGGCCCTGTGGTTACCTCCATGCTTGCTTCACCTACCAGGGGCAGCAGTTACTTCCTGACTATTTTCTCATTCTACCAACACCGGTGCTAGCACACACCTGCTGCTTTTCCTCTAAATCACTTCTCTTTTTTCTCTCTTCCAACAATTTTAATACCTGTCCTAGACAGAATAAAGGTTCCCTGAGGATGCTCCCAGGATCTGAGAGCACATTCCATCGCCTGGCTAGGGGGAAGTGAGGTAGCAGGTGAGGCTCAGTCTGCCCTTTAGCTCACCTGGAGGTGGGAGACCACACTGTATTGCCTCGATGGGCCCAGTGTAACCACAAGGGTGTTTAAGGATGGGGACAGGAGGGCTAGGGCCACAGGGTGCCTATGAGTGTCCAGTGTGGAGAAAGGGGCCCATGGGTCAGGTCAGAGGATTTAGCAGCCTCTGGTGGCTACAAAAGTCACCTGGACGATTCTCCCCTGCGCCTCCAGCAGGAACCAGTTCTCCTCTCACCTGTTCTACGATGAGGTCACTGCAGACTTGCAACAGGTAGAGCTGAAAGATAATAAACATGTTATTGAAAGCTACCAAATTTCTTGTAAAGAAGAATTGTTAGAGAAATGGTAGGAGGTGCACATAATGCCTAAAGGGCCCTTTGGGTCAGGACTCTGTAAGAGATCCCACAATGGGGTGTGTGTGTGAGGGGGGAGGCAAGTGCTTTACTACTTGAGCTATAACCCCAGCCCTTTTGTTTTGAAAGAGGGTCTCTCAGACTTTGCTCAGGCTTGTCTCAAACTGCAGTCCTCCTGCCTCGGCTTCTCTAGTAGCTGGGATTACAGAGATGCACCACCATGCCCAGGTCCTACAATGGTGTTGGTGCTGCAGCTGAGCCAGGTTTAAACAAAGCAACAGACTACTTCCAAAACCCAGTTCCTAAGCCAGCACTTACATGTATATTGCAACAGATTGCAGCAAACCACAAATGAAGTCACATGACATTTAAACAATTTGTTTTTTTTTTAAATGATGTCTGAAAAAGGCATAATACTTATGAGGTTCAATGCACAGTTCAGTGAATTTGCATGAAGGTGTCCCCTCATGTGGCCACTGCACAGGTCCAGGTGAGCTTCCTCACGACCCTTCTCATGTCTCCAGCCCAGTGTAGCCACTACTTCCACCAGTCACTCATTAACCTGTTCCAGATTTTTCATCAGTAGAATCACATGTATGTACTCCTTGGTGGCTTTTATTTTTTTTTCTTTGGTGGCACTGGGTTTTGAACTTAGGGCATTGCACTTGCTAGGCAGGTGCTCTACAACTTGAGCCATGCCCTTCAGTCCTTTTAGGTTTAGTTTGTTTTTCAGGTAGGGTCTCACCGTTTTGCCTGGATCCAGCTTCAGAATCTTATCCTCTTCCCTATGCCTGCCCCTAGCTAGGATTATAGGCATGAACCACCATGCCTGACCCCTTTGTGTCTTTTTTTACTCATTCATATATCATATATATGATATATATAAATATAAATATATAGAGAGACATATGCACACACACAGAGTTGACCCTTCACACTATCCAGTCTGCATCTCCAAATTCAACCAACTATATTGGAAAATATTCAGAAAAACATTGCATCTGTACTGAACACTTACAGACTTCTTCTTGGCACTATTTCCTGAACCATGCATGTAACAACTATTTCCCTAGCATTTTACATTGTATCACACAGAGGTAATTTAAAGTGTGTGGGAGGACCTGTGCAGGTTACACACAGACTCTATGCCATTTTATATAAGCAACTGAGCTCATGGATTTGGGTACAGGCAGGGGGGCTGGGACCCAGTCCCTGGGGGATACTGAAGAATGACTCTATGTTTATATAGTTTATATGTATATAGTTACATGAATATAGTGAAAGCTGGGGATGTGGCTCAAGTGGTAGAGTGCCAGCCTAGCAAATGCAAGGCCCTGAGTTCAAATCTTGGTACCACCAACTATATGTGTATATATTTACTTATATATTTCGGATTCATCTGTGACTATCTCCTTTTGCTATCTCTACTTCCTGCCAAGCAACACTATATTGTATGAATGAACTGCAGTGTGTTTACCCATCCTTTTGTTGGTAGGCATCTGATTGTTATCACCTTTTTGCACTGCAATTTAAAAAATTATACTATGTGATTTATTGTGATACTCCCATTCATGCATGTAACGTTGGTTTTTGGTGGCACTGGGGTTTGAACTCAGTGCCTAAAACTTGTAAAGCAGGTGCTCTACCTCTTGAGCCACTCCACCAGCCCTTTTTTGTGATGGGATTTTTGAGATAGGGTCTCCCAAACTATTTGCCTGGGCTGGCTTCCAACCATGGTCCTCCTGATCTCTGTCTTCTGAGTAGCTGGGATTACAGGCATGTGAACCACTGGCACCCAGCACATATAGTTTATTTTGATAGAATTTACACCCTCTTTTACTCTTTCTTGTCCCTCTCATTCCCTTTTAAAAATTTAATGGGTATCCTTGTTCTGTTTTCATACATATGTAAAATACGCTTCAATCCTATTTGCCCCTATCACCCTCTCCTTTTGGCCTTCCCTGGCTGCCCCCAAACAGTCCCCTTTTTGCATTCATCATATTATGCATATGAGCAGCTTTGGCTATGGGCACCAAGGGCTTTGTTTGTATGAACACCCATGCACGCGTGTTCATGTGGACACAGGTTCTCATTTGTCATGGCGAGGGCCAGGAGTGGAGCTGCTGATCGGGAACTATGCTCAGCCTCAGCAGATGCTGCTCTGTGGTGTGTAAAGTGTGTGAGCTGACAGACACCCCACAGCTCCATGAGCCAGCTCGCCTTTAAAGTCAACCTCCAGGAATTTCCAAGGGAAATTTGTTTCACAGTTATGAAGGGAAAGCCAGTATCACTTTTTAAAAATCTGTATGCTCTCACAGTTATTGAGGGTAACCATGGAAATAAACACAGTGAAACTGAATCAAACACTTCAAACACCTCAACTGCATCCAAAATCCTCCCTATGAGCTGTTTTGAAATATCCCACTAACTGTTGTCAACCACAGTTACATTAGAAGTTATCGCTCTTGTCCCACTGCACCTTTGTACCTGTCAGCCATCCTCACCCCATGCCTCCCCACGACCTCCCAGGCTCTGGTACCCTCTACCCTCTTCTCTACTTCCATGAGATCAGCTTTTTGGCTTCCATGCATTAATGAGACCAAGTGGTGTCTGTCTTTACAGAAGTATTTTAAAGCAAATCTCAGTCACCACATCAATCACCTCTATGTAGTACAAGATCACCTCTAAAAAAATTAGATGGCTTCTTGGTTTTTTTTTTTTTTTAGCAGTACTGGAGTTTGAACCTCACTTGCTAGGAGGTGAGCATCTTGAGCCACTCAGCCAGCCCTAAGATGGATGGTTTCTTATGTTTCCATATGTCATCTCTATACTCTACACTCAAAAATATTTTATTTATAACATCTTTTAACTCCCTATGTGGCAAATTCATCTTTTTTATGACAGTAAAGGAGAAAGATGGGAGTGCAGGAGCTGGTGGAAAGATTGGGTTCTCTGGTAGCTGCAGGATGGCATTGGTCTGTTTTCCATTACTATAACAGAATAGTCATGGCTGGGGACTTTATAAAGAAAAGAGGCTTACTCAGATCACAGTGCTGGGAAACTGAAAGTCCAAGTTTGGTTCAGTCTCTGGTGAGAGGATGTCCTTGTTTGTGTCACATAGCAGATGACATCATAGTGGAAGCCTGTGACAGGATGAGCTCACACAGTGGACAGGAAGTCAGAGAGAGAGACAAAGAGATGACTTATTTATTTACTTACATTTGTGGTATTGAGGTTTGAACTCAGGGCCTTGTTGGTTTGTTAGGCAAGCACTGTACCACCCAGGCTTAATTTATAACAATTCTCTCAAGAGAATTAAGCAGGGTCCCATGATAACTTCCTATTTTTTTTTTTTTTGCAGCACTGGGGTTTGAACTCAGGGCCTCATGGTTGTTAGACAGGTGCTCTTACCGTTTGAGCCACTTCACCAGCCCCACCCCCCTATTTTTTGGTCATGGGTTTTTTCAAGATAGGGTTTCCAGGCTGGCTTTGAACCACAATCCTCCTCATCTCTGCCTTCTGAGGAGCTAGAATTACAGGCGTGAGCCACTGGCACCCAGCTTATATACTTTATTTTTGTGCCATCTTTTATTCTTTCTCCCCACTAGACTAAACCCTATAAACACAGCAGTCTTCATTTGTTTATAGGGTTGTATCTGCCATATTTATAGAATACTGCCTTGCACTTTGAATATTTTTTTAGAATACTACCTGGCACTTTGTGACTGTTCATTGAATGACTAAATGCCCATCAGTTCTCAGGTTCTGAATCCTGTGCCTGAGAAACCAGACAGGATCCTGGATCAGGAGAAGGAGAAGCCTGACTTAGAAACCCCACATCCTCCAGGGGAAGATGCAGAGCCTCAGGCCTGAGCAGACACGGGGTCTGCTGGAGCCAGAGCAGATGACGACACTGCTGCTGCCTTGGGAGACCAAGGCCTGGGAGGAGCCATCCCAGCCCACCTTCACCAAGGACTGGGAGGCTGTGGAGGTTGGGACCTCAAACTGTGAAAGTGATGAAAAAGGTAAGGGGTCCTGTGGGAGGAGAGCAAAAGGGGAGGTCATGGCAGAGCCTAGGGAAAGACTGAACATTCATTTTGTTACTCATTGATTCAACTGATACTTGTGGAGCACACAGTCAGTCAGCTTTGTCTATGTAACAAATCACCCCAAAACTTGGTAGCTGAAAGCAACCATCATTCATGGGCTCACGATTCTGAGCGTCAGCAATTTGACCTGACTTAAGGTGTTTCTCCTGTTGCCATGGCCTGTACAGCCACAGGGAGCTGGCAGGGCAGCTGGCTGGTCTTGGTGACCTTGCTGTCATGTCTGGCCAGTTGGCTGACTGGATGGTGCTGATGACAGGCCACATGTCTCTATCAGGGTGTCCCAGGCTTACTCTCATGGAGGTGTTAGCAGCGGTGGTAGGAACAGCAAGAGAGAGAAGGCTGCAGCTTAGAAGCATCTTTAAGCTTTTGCTGGCAGGCCAGTTGCTCCTGTGTGGTTGGTTAGAATCAGATGCACAGTCAAGGCCAGAATCAGCAAGGGAGGGGGCTTCCCAAGAGTGTGGACACAGGCAGAAATGAGGAAGCTGGCGGTTATTTGGTGCAAGAATCTACCATGAGCACCTAGTGTGTCAGGTACTGTGCCAGGGACGTAGCAAGATGCCTCAGCTGTTAGTGGAAAAAACAGACAACAAAGAAGTTAAGAAATAAGAAGGAAGATGGTGTCTAATGGAGATGAGGGCCACCAAGATGGTGAAATAGGACAATGGATGAGGTTTGACTTGAGGGTGGTCAGGGAAGGAGAGAGGCATGAGAAGTTGGTTGCAAGAATTGGGAGAGTGGGCTGGAGAGGCTCAAATGGTACAGTGCCTGCCTAGCAAACACAAGGCCCTGAGTTCAAAACCCAGCAACACCAAAACAAAACCCAAAATAACGAGTTGGGAGAACAGCTCTGTGGGCAGCCAGAGCTACATATGCAATGCAGATTGGACAAGGAGACCATGATGAATGAACCCTACACAGAGAGCGACTAGGGAGAACACGCAGTGGGACCAGTGAGGGGAGGTCACAGCAAGGAGTTTGTATATTATTGGAGTACAGTAAGCCTAACTTACTTATAGATTTATTACACACAGTTTTGACCAAGTTACAGCAAAAATAAGTAAAAATTAAAAATCAGAAGAAATTTCAAAATTGAAAAATTTTAAAACTTAAGTGCACATAGAGCTGGGGACATGGCTCAAGCTGTAGAGTACCTGCCTACCATCAAAAATAAGTAAATAAAACAAACTCATGCATTACTCAGTTGACATGGGGAAGCTCTCAGTCAGTTCCACATTATTGTCACAGTTGGGTTTAAACTATTGTGTGATCTGCTGAGTGTCTCCCTGCCCTTCATTTTGTGAATACCTACCTCTCAGAAAGCAAATAGTGTCCACAGGTAAACGGTAAACCCAAAGAGGGTATGCAGTGTCCTTATTAAAGTGATGAAGTGAAAATTTGAGATTTGTTGAAAGGTTGGCTATATGGGGGAAAAATGAAGAAAGGAATGAAATAAGATTTTGTTTTGATGGGTGGCATCAAAGGTGTACTGCGGTGATTTTGTGACAGTAATGTGTCCGACTCTGTGTGATTTCAAGTTATGAAAGACCTAGTGTCCATAGGTATAGGCAAATTTGATTAGAGTTCTGAACTCCATGAATCCTGAGCATTCCTGGTTTTTCCTCGGTGGTGGTCTCTTTGGAACCATAGACCTGCGGACACCAAGGTTTCCCATCTTGGAGACCAGTGGAAGCTTAGAAGAAGAGAGTGACATGATCTCACTTGTATTTCAAACACTTTTCAACTCAGTGGTTTCCAACTGTCCACTTGACTTGACAAAGCCTGGAGAGTTTGGTTATTCAACTGGGGGGTGGGGGTGGGTGGGGGAAACGATGACGCTGCTGCCATCTAGTGGTAGAGGTGGACACTGTGCTGCTAACCTTAGGCTGCAGACCCTGGTCACCAAGAATGACAGCACAAATATAAATCACAGGGGTAGAAGGCCAACAGGGAAAAGCAAGAGGCTGCTAGGAGGACCCTGAAACTGTCTAAGGACAGAGGTGAGATAAGTGGAGAAACTGGGGGCATTTGGGAGGGAGGAGAGGTTCTTGCTGGTAGATGTGGGGAAAGTCAGGGCAGAGACAGGCCAAGGATGGCTCTTAGGGTTTTGGCCCAAACTACTGGACAAAGGGTGGTGCCATTTGCTAAGAGGGAGTCAGGAGAAGAAGGCTGGGCTGCCTTCCCTCTCAGCAAACAAGCAGCCTAGGACAGAGGCATGGACAATATAGGTTAGCCCTGGTAACGAGGAGGAGGTTTGAGCCCCCGTGGAGGACAGGGTCCTGAAAGATAGAAAACGTCAATGTTTGACCTGTTTATTCAGTTTGGGGATGAGAAGGTGTGGAGGTTCTGACTGGGGAAGTTTATCAACTGGAAGCAGTTCTTATTTCAGCTAGGGAAGCCCCTCTCATCCTGATATAACTCTGTGGCTTTTTCTTCCGTCCCCTCACTCAGCTTTTGCTGGAAGTCCATAGAAAAGGAACTCTCTCCTGTTCAGCAGGTGAACTAACAGAGGCTTGGGTGGAAAAGCACATTAGCTGCTCTGGTTTAAGTCTCCCAGGTAGTTTTAGGATCTCTCATTTTCTCAGCTCTATCTGCACCACATGGGCCAGAATATGTGTGTGTGTAGGTGTGTGTGTGTGTGTGTGTGTGTGTGTGTGTGTGTTTGAGAGAGAGAGAGAGAGAGAGAGAGAGACAGAGAGAAAGAGAAAGAAAGAGAGAATCATCAGAGAAGGAATAGGACACCAGTGGGAAATGCAAGAGGAGCCCAACCCAGGTGGTCTGGCACTCATTCATGGTTCCTTTTCCCTCCACTCCTGCCCCACCTAGATTTGTCTTCTCAAGAAACTGGGGTTCCCCAGGAGTGGAGTTCTGTGGAGGAAGATGACGAGTCAGAGGATTCCCAGGTATGGTGGGAGATCCTCTCCTTTTCCAGATGTCTCATCATGAAGACTTCAGTGGGTTGTCATATTTCCTTCCTTTGCCTGCCATTTCCCTGCCCAACAGAAGTTCCAAGAGATCTCCTGTGGGACATAGGACATATTCCTATGGTGGTCAGACATAGAGTGGAGGATCTCTGTGTTGCATATTTGTAACTTCATTCCCTTCACTCATAAGTCTGTCCATCCATCTATCCACCCATCCACCCACTTCATCTGTCTATCCATTAATACTCCCGTTCACTTACCCTTCCACTATTTGTTCACCAATCAATCTACCCACCCATCCATTCATCCACTTCCCCATTGCATATCCACCAACCATTCACCCACCCACTCATTCATCTATCAACCCTTAATGCCCTATTCACATGTATACCCATCCACATATCCCTGCAGTTGTATATTCAGTTATCCATATACATTTTTACCCACATGCCATTAATCCATCTATTCAACCCACCTACCCACCCACATACATTCATCTGTCCACTCATCTATTCACTTACCTAATCACCCACCTCCTATCTGTTGGCCATAGTAAAGATTTGGCTACCATCTATCCATCCACCCATAATCAGTCTATTTGTCAACCTGTCCACTGATCCACCCATCTACTCACTCACCATTCAGTTCATATATCCATCCATTACTAATTACCTACTAGCTTTAATCGAAATGCTGTAAGTAAAACCAAACAGAATTACCAAGCACATTCTTCTCAAAGACCTGACATGTTTCTTTTACTTATTAATTTATCTCATACATGATAAAAAATACATAACCACTCCCAGTGCCACATGAGGGGTCCTGGACTCTGACTTGAGGACAGGGCAGGGGGAGGTGCTGGGACATTATCTTTTTGGTTTGTGTTGCTACAACTGAATACTACAGACAGAGTCTCATGTAGAGAAGGGAGGGTTACTTAGTTCATGGTTCTGGAGGTTGGGAAGTCTGCTATCAAGGTACCATCATCTGTAGAAGCAGGGAGGGGAAATCAGCCCCATCACTGCCATCTGATAAAACACAAGCCTGTGAGACACCCACAGTCTTCCTAAGGGCCTCCTTGCTGTGTCATAACATGGCAGAGGGCGGAAAAAGCATGTCAGCTCTGGTCTCTCTTCCTCTTCTTATAAAGCCATGGATGCTGTCATGGAGCCCCCACCCAAAAGCTGAACTTGGGAACTTTGGGGGCTACATTCCAACCGTAGCAGAACTCAAGGGGGAGCCTTGGAAGGAATAAGACGATATATATTTGGTGGCACTGTGGATTGAACTCAGGGCCTTGTGCTTGCTAGGTAGGTACTCTACACTTGAGCCACTCCCACAGCCTGTTTTTGCCCAGGGCCAGCCTCAGACCGAGATCCTCCTACCTACAGTCTCCTGCATAGCTTGGATGACAGGCATGAACCACCACACTTGGCTTATTTGATGAGATGGAGGTCTCACTTTTTGCCTTGGCTGGTCTCAAACCATGATCCTCCCAATCTCTGCCTCCCAGTAGGTGGGATTGCAGGTGTGAGCCAGCATTCCTGGCCTAACAAGGTCAATTTTTAATCTGCTGTTTGGAAGAGGCCTCTGTGTCATCCTTAATTTGTTCCTTCACTTACATCTTCATGGTTCATGGACAGGCCCTGGGTTCTGACACAGGTGAGCTTTATGCATGGATAGAACCTCCTTCCTGCAGGCAACCTCCTTCTAAGAAAGCAATAGGAGCAGGCAGTATAGGCCCAAAACCTTTGATAATATAGCCAGGCTCCACAGCCCTTGCCAAGAGCCAGGCATGGAATGACTTTGTCTACCTTAATTAATTTAGTCCTCTTATCAGTCCTTGAGGTATGACCTCATTTGACGATGGGAAAATGAAGGCACAGAAAGGTTAAGTTACCTTCCCTAGCTCAGCCAGCATAGGTTAAAACGCAGTGTGTCTCTTAACCACTAGGTTCCCTGCCTGTTTGAGACTTGATCCTCTCCCCAAGAGTGGGCTGTGGACATGACCAAGGGCCACTTCCTGTTCTGTTGCTCATACGTCACTACAACACTTGTGGGGAGGAGAGAAGAAAAGGAGTTATTTTTCAAGAGAGAAGTTCCCACTCTGTGGACCCAGAAGAAACCAGGGAGGAGAAAATGTCCCCATCATTCCCACACTATAAAATGTAAGCACATGCAACACTTGCAGATCATATCTAACTATATAAATTTTAAAGAAAAAGTTCAGAAACAACCCTGGTGAGAGTTGCTATAACAGACAAAACTCACCTATAGTATGAGAAGTCAGGAGACGGGATCTCTGAGGTGGGGTACAAGGGAAGAGGGAACGGGAAATTTGGGGTACAGTAATGTCTGCTTCTTGTTCTCGTGCTAGTTACATACAGCATCACCATATGAGGAATCCCCCCCTTCTTTCCTCCACTTCCCTCTTCACCCTCCTTCACGTCCCTCCCCCCTTCCTTTCTTTCCCTTCCTTTTAGGCTCCCTTCCCCTTGACCAAGTGGTTTTAAAATTCCAGCAGAAGCCTGAAACCACAGATAGTACTGAACCCCACATACACAATACTTTTCCTATACCTACACACCTATGATAAATTTTAGCTTATAAATTGGCACAGTAAGCGATTAATAATAACAGATAATTAAAAAGTATAAGAATACACTTTAATAAAAGTCATGAGAATATGCAAACACATAGGTTCAACCGAAGTCCAGCATCAGTCTGATCTCAAGGAGAGCCCTAGAGTGTGGCCAGCACCAGGGACTGTCCCCTTCTGAGTCTTTTGTACCCCACAGCGGTTTCATTGGTGTGGACAGCCCTGGAGGGTGAGTGTATGTAATTCCTAGGGAATTCCCATCAGAATAGAGCACTTCTCAGGAGAAGGAGAGAGCTGTAAACTAAAGCCATGAAGTCAGTAGACAGCAGTCCCAGCAGCTGGGGGCAGATGTGGGGTGGGGGACAATGGGATTTACATACCAGTTAATCAGGAACAAAGGGGAATGAGTTAAGGTGCCTATGGGTTTACTATGTATAGTGTGTGTAATATGATAGTGTAATTATTTCCAGTGAAGTGGAGAGATCAGACAGTGTTGACACATGGGTACCTCTAAATAAAAGTAACCACACCCCAATGAAGACACGCACCCCATGCAGTGCCATCATTACCCCAGAAAATGCCCTCTTCTTCCTTTCCATCTGTCTCACTCCTTCAGCCCAGACACAGCTGGGCTCTCGATTCCCATCCACATAGGTCAGACTTTGTCTAAACAGACTCGTGCAAGCAGCACACTGGTGGCTCATGCCTGTAAATCCTAGCTACCCAGGAGATCAAGAGGATTGAGGTTTGAAGCCAGCACAGGGCAAATAATTTGTAAGACCCTATCTTGAACAAACCCATCACAAAAAAAGGGCTGGTGGAGTGGCTTAAGTGGTAGAGCACCTGCCTAGCAAGTGTGAGGCCCTGAGTTCAAACCCCAGTACTGCCTATGTATAAATATATATATGTATATACATATATATTATATATATAAATGGTATTTTAAAACTGCAAGATTTTATAAATCAGTGATATTCTGAAATTCCTTCTGGTAAAGCATTGGTTTTGTGAACTTATTTAGGTCTAGGCTAAATATTGTACAGTTTTATGTTTGGTTTCTCTGTTGACATGTCATGTCATTCTGAATCACAGAACCCATCTTCCTGCTGGTAACAATGGCAGCCCCTTCCTTTCCAGTATTTACACTTCCTTTTTTTCTGTTTCAGGGCTTCGTGGAGTGGTCAAAAGCTCCACAACAAACCACCATCGTCTTGGTGGTGTGTGTGTTGTTTTTGTTCCTGGTTTTAACGGGGATGCCTATGATGTTCCACGTCTAACCATGATCATGGCTGTTGCTTTGAAATGCACACACTGTATGTTAAGGAAGTGTCCGGGTTAAAAATCAGGAATGGGTACTGTGTATTATCAAATGCCTTTCAAACATCCATTGAGATGATTTTTTTAAAAAAAGAACTTTTTAGTATGAGGTTTTCATTACTGTATTTCATTGAAATTAAAACATCACTGATTGTATAACATACATCATGTGCAATGCCATTAAGAAAAACGCTCATTTTTAGCTGCCACTAGCTGATGAACCTCCTAACTTCAAAGGTGAAAAAAATGTGCAAGTTAGCATCAATGAAATCTTGTGGATTTCCTAACCTCAGTCCATCTTTGCTTCTTAGGATTGCAGTGCACCAGTCTTTTCATATACTGAATTCTTTTTCTTAAAATTTTATGTAGGATTGTATTGTCATATGTGAGATTGGTGCTATCCTTGTGAAGTTCTGGTATCATGGCTAAGCCTAATTTTTACTCTTGTCCATGCTTCTGAATAGCTTGCATAGCTTCGGAACTGACAAGCCCTTGACAGTTTAACCGAATCCACCCGCAGTCAGGTCCTACAGCCATGGAGGAGAAGCTTCAGCTAATTCTTTGGGTGGCGTTCTCAGTGTTCCTCATGTTAACAGTTTAATATTTTTACCTCTTGAATTCATTTTGGTGACTTAGTTATCTTTTATCCTCCAGTGAATTTTCACTTCACAGAGCTTTCCAGATATTAGCTTAATTATGCATACTGTTATAGAATTAAGTAAAACCCTTCTCTTCATTACATTAGAGCCCTATCTCCATCTTCTGTTTGTGGTTTACTCATCATTTTGTCTGTCTGCTTTATTATCATTTTTCCAAACAGCTAGTGTTAGGATTTATTCCCATTATTTCCCTTGCCATTTGATGTTCTTTAGTATGCACTGTATTTATTTTTATTCTTGTTTTGATTAAGTTGACTAATTTATATTCCCTTTATATCTGCAATAATAGCATATTAATAATATAAATGAACTTCTGGATATAGCCTTGCACACTTTAAAGTTTGATAACTCGTGTCCTTGCTGTTAACGCACTCTGTAGTGTTGCTAGAGAACGCTTTGATGCTCAATGGTCTGGCTTATTTTTTAATAATGGTTTTGTTTTCTTGTTTTACTGCACTGTGAACAGAGAATATGACCTATATCTGCTTTCAAAACATTTTAACAAGTTTTATTGTGGTCTAGTACTTGTCCAACTTTTGCAACTGTTTCATGGACACTTAAGATAAACATATTCTTTGTAGAATTTAAAACTATGTATCTGCTAACTAAGTCTCACCATTATACTGTTAGACTCATATGTGATTTAACTCTGGCCTGTAGCATCTGTCAGAAACCAGTAAGATTATGTGAAAATCTGTTAGTATGACTGGTTTAGCAATATATTTTTTATAATATCTGTTTTCTGTATTAAATAGCTATGTAATTCAATGCAAATAAGTTCAGCATTGTTATATCTTTCCCAATTAAATAATATATGTAAAACACCAAACACAGTTCCATTCATCTAGTAGGCATTCAATAAATGTTACAACCTGATTTTCGATCATTTGTCAAATATAAAATAATCATGTTTAACTAACTTAATTCTTTTAAAAATTTCTTGAGAAAGGGTCTCACTAGGTAGCCCAGGTTGGCTCAAACTTGAGATCCTCCTACCCCAATAGAGAAAGTATTGACAAATGGGACTGCATGAAAGTAAAAAGCTTCTGCACTGCAAAGGAAGCAATCACCAGACTAAAGAAACACCCTACCAAATGGGAGTAAATCTTTGCCAGCCATACATCTGACAACGGATTAATAACCAGAACATATAAGGAGCTCAAAAAAAACCTACCTCTTAAAGAATCAACAACTCACTGAATAAATGCCATGAACTGAACACACAACTCTCAAAAGAACTACAAATGCCCAATAAACATATGAAGAAATGCTCAGCATCCTTGACCATAAAGGAAATGAAAATCAAAACTACAATGCGACTACACCTCACCCCAAAGTGGGTATCATCAATAACACAAACAGCAGCAAGTGCTGGTGAGGATATGGGGGAAAAGGAACACTTCTACACTGTTGGTGGGAATGGAAATTAGTGCAACCACTATGGAAAGCAACATGGAGATCCTTCAAAAACTAAAAATAGCATTACCAGACAATCCAGTGATATCACTCCTAGGCACATAGCCAAAGGAATGTGCTTCAGGATATGATAGAGCCACGTGCACATCCATGTTTACTGCAGCACTATTTACAAAACCCAAGCTTTGGAAACAGCTTAGAGGCCCCACAACTGATGAATGGATTAAGAAAATGTGGTAAATATACACATGGAGTTTTATTCAGTCATAAAGAAGAATAAAATGATCTTGTCTGAAGGTAAATGGATGGACCTGGAGAACATGTTAAGCAAAGGAGCCAGGCTCAAAAAGGCAAAGGTCACATTTTCCCCTCATATGAGGAAGCCAGACTAACAAGTTAAATGTACATATAGACACATATACATATATAGAGAGAAAGAACAAAATTATATTAGCTTATCTGAGGGGATGACAGGAGGTGTGAGATGTAAAGGAAAAATATTGAAACAATCCATCTATATATGAATATAATGCACTGTACTGTAACTTGTTGAATAGTGGGGAGCATGGTGATATGGTGATAGAGAATGAATAAGTAATGGGGGTTAATTTGATTAAAGCACAATGTATTACAGGCCTGAAGTGCCAAGGTGAAACCCTCTTGGACTATCAATATACACTTTAAAAAAATGGACAGTAGGGAAAAATAGGTCTTTTATGGGGGTGAGTACCAGTGGGAGGGGGTGGGCACAAGTAAAGGGGGAATGAGAGTGAATATGGTAGATATATTTTGTATCCATATTTGAAAACAGAAGAATGAAACCTGCTGAAATTGTTCTAAGAAGTGGGGGAGGAGGGTAAAATTAAGATACATGGTAAGCACATATGTAAATATCACAATGTATCACCCTGTACAATTATTAAAGGCTAATAAAATTATTTAGAAAAACTTGAGATCCTCCTGCCTCAGCATCCCAAGTGCTGGGATTACAGATGTGCACCACCATACCCACACAATTTAATCCTTTGCCTTGAAATTTCCCTTGTCTCATGTTGATACTATTGTTCTTCTCTTTCTTTAAACCCCTGTGGATATGTCTGTGTGTAGAATATTTATACACTCCTTGTGTAATTTTGCTTAGAACTTTCAAAAGCCTCCAGAGAAATAAAAAAGGAAAAATATGAGATTGCCAGGTGTGTGGACTCACCTCTGTAATCCCAGCTACCCCCGAGACGGAGAGCAGGAAGATTGTGGTTTGTGACCAGCCCAGGCAAAAAGTTAGTGAGACCCCCTCCACCTCGATAAATAACCCAGACATAGTGGTGCACATCTGTATTCCCAGCTAGGTGGAAGACAAAGGCAGGAGGATCACAGCCCAAGGCTGATCCCAGGCAAAAACGTGAGACCTAAAAAATAAAGCAAACATGGCTGGCGGAGTGGCTCAGGTGGCACAGCACCTGCCCAGCAGGTGTGACACTCAAGGTCAAACCCCAGCACCACACACACACACACACACACACACACACACACACACACGGCTTATTTCTCTCTTCACATTCTCTTAAAAGAGAATGATTGCATTCAACAAGTGACTAGCCTAAGTGAAAAGAACACGCACCTAGACTATTGTATTTGTTGGGATTTTATAGTTGCAAGGGAAGCTCACTTACTTTAAATGAAATTAAACGGAAAGATTACTGTTCATGTCACACAAGAGTTTGAGATAGAACTGCCTTCATGTATAACTGGCTCCCTGGGCCCACAACAGTGTGGCCTCTCCTCTCTTGACCTCATACTTACGCCCACTTCTGAGTCCGCCTCCTTCTCTCCCTCCCACAGGCTGAGGGATGGCCACCACCTGCCCTGTGTTCACCTCTTCCAGGTGGCAACTCCCAGCCCTGCTCTCCTGAAACAAAAGGCAGACAGTGAAGCTGCTACAAAGGCCCTGAGGCACAGACAGAACATCCAAAGGACAGGAGCAGAATGGGCTGCAACAGGGCAGGGTGTGGGCTGGCGCTTGAGCTTGGAAGCTGCCTTAGACCTCAGCCGAGGGCCAGCTGTGATGGGCTCAGACAGTGACAATGGCTCAGTCAAGTCTGCAGGAGGGCAAAAATAATCACAAAAGCCCCAGGGGTTACATTAGGAGTGCTGGTGCCTCTGGGCTCTATTGCACGCCAGGACCTTATGCACTGGTAACACAAGTATCCACTCAAGCCCCCCGCACCCAATGCTCCTCCACCCAACATCCAGCCGGACCCCATGAAATCATGGTTTAGAACATGCACTGTGCAAAAGCCCACGCCCCCAGAGCGGCCATCCAGCCTTAATGTCTCCCCCTATCAGTCCTTTGGCTCCCTCCACCAACCAACTGGTGTCCTCACCATTTCTAAAAAAAAAAAAAAAAACCACCATGGCTTGCCTCAGGACCTTCGGTAGGATGCTCTCCCCTCAGCCTCACCTGGGTCCCTTACCTCCTTCGGATCTCAGGTACACCTCCCCAGCCCCTTCCAGTGGCACCCCTTCTGCAGCCCACACTACTGTCCTAGCTTGCACCCTCCTGACAAGTTATGGGTCAGTGTCGCTCCTGTCAGCATCCTCAACGGTCGTTCCTGCGCCTTTGGTGGGTCTTCCTGAGATACTGAGACCTCTGAGGTGGAATTGCAGGACCGGCTGTGATCAGGGGAGCCCTGCACATCCTTGCCATGTGGACCTTACCTTTCCCACCCCAACCCCATGCTTGTGAGGCTGCTCTGGCTCCTCCTCCAACGGCACGTGGATATAGTTTCTGGGAAGCATGGTGGCGGGGCAGGTACGTAAAGATGAGTGGGAGCCTGGACTTGTAATTCTCCCCATGAAACTGCCTGCTCCAAGTATGGGCAATTCTGATTGTGCGGCGGGTGCGACTGCTGTACGCGGCCACCAGGGGGGGGCTTCAGCAGCCCGGGCTAATTCCTTTCACTCTTCACTTTATCTGCTAATCCTCAATTTTTTTTTTTCTTTTTCTGGCAGTACTGGGAATTGAACCCAGAGCCTTGTGCTTGCTAGGCAAGTGTTCTACTACTTGATCCTTGCCCCCAGGCATTTTTATCTGGTGACACAGGGCTTTGAACTCAGGGCCTCACACCTGCTAGGCGGGTGCTCTACCACTTGAGCCGTGTCCCCAACCCTTTCTTGCTTTATCTATTTTCCAGATATGTCCTTGTACTTTTGCCCAGGGCTGGCCTCATACTGAGATCTTCCTACCTCTGCCTACATACCTAGGATTATAATCAGGTGCCACCATGCCTGGCTTGCTGGTTGAGGTAGGAACTCACTAACTTTTGGCCTGGCCTCCTGAATAGTGATCCTCCAGATCTCCACCTCCTGAGTAGCTGGGATACAGGCATTTGCCACCATACCCGGCCCATTTATATTGCTCTGAGACAGGCTCTTCTCACTAACTGCCCAAGCTGGCCTTGAAATGGAGATTCACCTGTCTCTGCTTCCTGAGTAGCTGGGATTACAGACATCATCAAATTTGATGATCACCAAATTTCAAAAGTTCAGAAATATTTTTGGTAATTCAGCTCCTTCTCCAGTTATAGACTCCAGGCTATAGACTTAACATACCACCACCTGGGTTTTCTAGGTGGTAGCAGAGTGTAAGCTCCTGCATGCTTCCCTCTTTCTCTTGCAGGAGGAATTCAGGGCAGTTTCTTAGTAGGTGATAGTTACTTTCATTTCACCACTGTGGTGGGTGGATGGCACAAGTGGTCCCTGCTTCACTTTTCCCTGGAGTCACCGTGGACAGGCTCTTCTTCACTGCTCCTGGGCTTGGCTGTGAGAATTGCTTGGGCAAACCTGATAGACAGCACCAGAGGCTTCAACTGAGTGTGTATCCACTTTCAACCGCTGCTACCACCCAGAAAACATAAGTGGGTGGCATGTAACAAGGTCAGCTGAGTTTGGCCAGCCTAGCCTTCCTGGACAGCCAGCCCTCTGGGTGACCCATAGCTAACCTCAAGGCAAAAGCAAGCCAGGATCAACCAGGCCTGGTCCAGACCAACAGAACCACCCAGCTTACCTGCAGATTCAGGAAATATTAAGAAACAACTGAGTTCTGGATGACTTGTTACACAGCAAGAGCTAACTGATACAAGCAGTAAAGTCAAGTCTTTCAGTTGGGAGGGAAAACAGCTGGGAGTGAAAAAGGTGGGGTCTGCTCTAGAAGCCCCCCACAGGGGAGAGGCACTCCCCTCTAGACCAGCTGCCTGTTTGCACTTGTTTGTTTTCTCTAAACACATATCTAGATCAGCAGGTCCAGACTTCTTTTTCAGACTCTGCTCCTTTAGTAAACAGAACTTCATCAAAGTAGCCAAACTATACTCATGTAGTCAATTTATGGGACAAGTGCCAAATCAATCATACAATCAATTAACACAATGAAAAGGCCAGCCTGATGCTCACAGGCATTTCCACCTGCACCACTTTTATCATTTTGCATCAGGGAGATGGTGGGTTGGGTATGTGGCAGGTGTGGGGTCCATTTCCTGCCCTGTGTGCTTTTTGGTGGAAACCAGGTGTAAAAATGCTCCCGACTTGGGCCCTGGGTGGTGGTGTATGCCTGTAATACCAGTTATTTGGGAGGCAGAAATAGAATCCTGGTCAGGGGCCACCAGCAAAAAAGGCAAGATCCTATCTGAAAAATAAAGCAAAAAGGATGTGGCTCAAGTGGTAGAGTGCTTGTAAGGTGAGTCCTGAGTTCAAAACCCAATGATGGAAGAAAAGCCACTTCCTCCCTCCCTGCCTCAGCTCTTATCGTTTTGAGCATTCATACAGGTGTCTGCTAAATCACCACTGCTAACTGGCTTCTCCTCCCCATGAGAGCTCAGGTGTTGAGTCAGGTGTCGGAGCTGGGAAAAGGTGTCCCCGCACTGGCCACATGAGTGGCGCTTCTTGTCGTGCATTTTCCGGTGCCGCAGGAGTGCGGAGCAGCAGCTGAAGGTCTTCCCGCAGCTGCATTCGTAGGGTCGCGTGCCGGTGTGCACGAGATGGTGCTGGATGAGGGAGGCGCGGGTGCGGAAGGCCTTCCCGCACTGCCCACACTTGTAGGGCCGCTCGTCGCTGTGGGTCTTCTGGTGCTCCCCGAGGGTGGACGCGTGGCTGAAGGTGGCCCCGCACTGTGGGCATGGGTAAGGCCGCTCCCCTGTGTGCACCACGCGGTGCTGGGTGAGGTGTGCGCGGCTGGCAAAGCGCTTGCCACAGTCCTGGCACTCGTGGGGCCGCTCCCCGGTGTGTGCACGCCGGTGCTGCGCCAGGTGCGACACCTGCGTGAAGGTCTTGGCACACTGGCCGCAGGCGAAGGGCCTCTCGCCAGTGTGGATGCGCCGGTGCTCGGCTAGCGAGGCGCTGTGGCCAAAGCGCTTGTCACAGTCGGGACAGGCGTAGGGCCTCTCGCCTGTGTGCACACGCTGGTGCTGCGTAAGATGCGCCATCTGCGTGAAGGTCTTGGCGCACTGGCCACAGCGGAAAGGTTTCTCCTCGGTGTGGATGCGCTGGTGGCGGGCGAGAGCCGAGGAGAAGCGGAAGGCCTGGGCGCACTGGCCGCAGCGGAACGGCCGCTCCTCCGAGTGGACTCGCCGGTGCCGGATGAGCGCTGAGGAGAAGCGGAAAGCCTGGGCGCACTGCCCGCACACGAAGGGCCGCTCTTCGGAGTGTGCGCGCAGGTGCTGCGCCAGGTAGGAGGCCTGGCTGAAGGCCTTGCCGCACTCGGGGCAGGAGAACGGCTTCTCCCCAGTGTGAATCCTTTGGTGCGAGGTGAGCGCCGAGCAGAAGCTGAAGGCCTTCCCGCAGTCTCCGCACAACCACGGCTTCTTGGGCCTGGCGCCCACACTCTTCTGATTCGTGCTCTTCTTCCTGGGCACACTGCACTTCGGGGTCCTGGTTTTGCTGGGGTTGCCTGCTTGGGTTACCAGAGGGCTCGATGTGGCTTTTGGGGTTTGGTGGATACTATTCATTGTAGGATCTCCCTTGTGCATCCCAGCCTCCATGGTTGGATGGTTCTCCTGGTTTTCCTGCTGATCCTGGAACTCATCCTCTTGCTTCCAGGATCCTCCCAACTCGGAGCCCTGGAGGGCTATGCTCAAAGGCCCATCCATTCCTGACCCTGGGCATCTACCTGGATTTCATGGCTGCTATCTGGATCTGAAAGAAGGAAAGTAAAAAAAAAAAAAAAATCAGTCAGGTTTGTCATTTGCCCTGGGCCAGGAAGGACATAACCCTGAGTCCTTAGTCCTCTACTACTGACAGATTTTGGGTCACACAATTCTTTTTCATAGGGCCTGTTTTGTGTACCAGGATGTTTTGTGAGCAGCACCCTTGGTCTCCCTGCAATTGTGACAATCAAATATGTCTCCAGGCTGGCTCACACCTGTAATCTACCAGCTACTTGGGAAGCAGAAATGGGGAGGACTGAGGTTTGAAGCCAGCCTGGGCAAAAAGTCAGTGAAACCCCATCTCTACTAACAAGCGAGTGTGGTGCTATTTGTAGGAGTAGGATGATCACTGTCCAGGCTGGCCCGGGCAAAAACTTGAGACCCCATCTGAAAATAACTAAAACAAAAAGATTTGAGGATATGGCTGAAGTGGTAGAGCATCTGCTCAACAAATGTGAAGTCCTGAGTTCAAACCCCAGCACCACCAAAAAAAGATAAAAGCTCCAGATACTGCAAAGTGTCCCCTGGGAATGGAATCAACATGGTTGGGAATCACTGACTTAATTGAACTGAAAACAGGTTTAAAAAGATTCCTACAATTATTATAATTATTTTTTTAATGAAGGAACCTGTCAGCTCTTAAATACGGCCTTGTAACCTGGTGCTGTGGGCTGCATCAGGTCTCCCCCCTCAAGGAGATGGTATTTGGAGGTGTGGAATTTGAGAGGTGACTAGGTAGGTGAGGACGTGCACATGGGGCCTCTGTGATGGCTTAGTGTCCTCATAAGAAAAGGAAGAGACACCAGAGCTTTGTCCTTTCTGCCATGAGGACATGGTAAGAAGGTGGCTGTCCCATAGGTACCCTGACCTGACCTCAGACTTCGCCCCCAGAAGTGTCTATGGGTTTTGTTGTAGCAGTCTACACAAAAGAAGACTGGACCTTCCAAGGGCTGCTCCCTGTGCCTGAAACGCTCTTCCCTCAGTGTGGGCCTCACTAGGAGGACAACTTCTGAGCCTCTGAGTGATAGAGTGAATCTTCTGGGCTGAGCACAGCAAGTACAGAGTTCTTGAGGCAGGACTGTGATGGGGGAGAGAAGGAAAGGTGTTGCCAGAGTGACAGGGGCACAGAACTGGGGAGATGAAGTCTGGTAGGGGCCAGGGTTTGACAAGACCCTGTGTGTGGAGAGTGAGTCTTCTGCTGGTTGGGCTCTGCTGGCCAGTCTCAGCTCAGGAGCCAGCTTGGCAGGCAACCCTTATGCCCAAGTTGGGGCATATGGCCACTGGGGCCCTACAGTGGGCACTGGTACCTATTACAAGGTCCTGGGAGAATCAGGTGGAGCCCCGTCACTCACACTGTGGCTGCTGCTGTGTGTCAGTAGGTCCAGCTGGCATCTGTGGGAAAAAGAAATAGGGACTGTGAAGGAAGATTTTGGGGAAGAGAGAGGTGGGGGACTGAGGTGAGAGGACAATGAGTTCTCAGGAGGAGGTATACCTAGGGGAGCTACAGGCACACAGGAGACGAAGGGGACACAGAGACGCTGGGGACAGTAAAAGAAAACTTCTCTACTGCCAACACTTCTGACATACGGATTTCTTCCCCCTGCCCCCACAAAAACCAATTCTTCAATCCTCTCTGGCTGGCAGACATGCACACTGGCTCACCATAAAAGGTTGTGGTGGGAGGAGGTGGTGGTGGTCCCCATAATCCTCTATTGGGGTGTGATAATTTGCTAGAGTAGCTCACAGGACTCAGGGAAACAGTCTACTATTACTATGTGTGATACAGGACAGGACTCAGCCCAAAAGAAGATGCACAGGGCACTGTATGGGGGAAGACACAAAATTTCTGTGTTTCCTCCTGGTGGTGTGTTCACCAACTGTGTTCACCAATCTGGAAACTCCCCAAACCCTGTCTTTTAGAGGTTTTATGGACATCTGTTATGTATACATGATTGATTACGTATGAACTCACCCTTCTCTAGTTCCTTTCCTTTCTCTGAAGGCAGGGGCGAAAAGAGGGGGGCTGAACCTCAAAGTTCCAACTTTCTAATAATCAGGGTTGGTTCTATTGGCAACCAGCCCTCCCCCATCCATTCTGAAGTTGCCAGGGACCTACCAGAAGCCATCTCATTAGCATAAGAAATGCAGATGTGGTTGAAAAGGCTTCTATTACTGTGAGTAAGAGAAAATATTGTCTTCTCCCACTACTAAGGAAATTCCAAGAATGTTAGAAGCTCTGAGCCAGGAAATGGGGACAAATACATATTTCTTATGTATATTAGCACATCATTGATAGGACAAAAGTGTCATGTCACAGTGTGACCTACAGAGTCACATGTAATCATACCCAGAGGTCAGTTACATCACATGCACAGATAAACATGGACACACAATGATACACACCACACATATCTACGCACGCAAGGAGCTAGGAAGGCATTGTACCTGGCCACACTCAATAGGCACTATGTGGGGCTGCACACATAGCTACAACCCCCTACCCCCAACGTGTAGTGTCCCTGAGTAAACAGGTACATATAGAAGGACACCTCTCCACCATAGGCAGGCCATGTGCTGGGGTGCTACCCATGTAGACACACATAAACACAAACACAGTATAGCAGTGTGCAGAACTCCAACATGGCCAAAGTCAAGTGTGCACGGTCTCCCACGTGCATATGCATACACACAGGTATTCCCAGGCTTCCTAGCTTCGTGCTACCAGGCTCACGTGTCTAGTCACCCTACACAGTCTCACACCCAGACACCCACAGGTGGTGCCATGCACCCCACTCAGGGGAATAAGTATCATACACCTATGCGACTCTGGTTCAATATGCAGACATCCCCAGATACTCGCGGATCACGTGATCAGTTGCATACACTGCTTCACCTGCAGGGACACCACACATCACTGGGGACTCACCTGGAGACTTGGACGCAGTCACACACACCTGCACAAGCAGGCCCCGCCGAGTAACCAGGTGCACACACTCAGTGACTTGTGGGGTTAGGCCCACTCGCAGTCACTCGCCGGCACGGTCACACCTGCAGGGACACACGTCACGAAGGTGCACACTGGCCACAAGCGCAAATGCACTCGCGCATGCGCACATTCTCACCGGCGCCCTCACCTGCCAGGACCATCTCTGAAAGCGCTGGGCGGCTCCCCCCAAGGCCAGTGGGGTCCAGTCGGCTTCCCCTCGGACTCCGGCCCTCATCGGCCTATGAATACCCCCGGGAACCCCTTCTCCCTAAGCCGCACGGAGGCCAAAGCAGCAGAGGGGTCCAAACACCAACTCGCCGTGGACTACGCCTGCGCACAAAGAAACGCACGGCCGCGCGCGACTCAGCAGAACTACAACTCCCAGAAGACCTTGCGACCGCACGGGTAGACACTCCCTTCCGGCCTCCTTGGGTACTCGTTGTGAGCAGGGGCGTGGGGGGGGGGTGTCTGACCTCGGCCCCGCCCACCAAGCATACTTCCTGGTTGCTGGGCGTGGCTGGTAACCAAGGATAGGACTTTTCTTCCTCAAGGGATCAGCTGAGACCACAGGCTTAGAAAGAAGGAATGTGAGGATCAGAGAGGCCAAATCAGAGTATAAGGCCTTGCCATGCACAGCCCCAAGACTGCCTTGAGCCATGGCACACGCTTTTGTTTTGTTTTTTGCTCCGTCCCACTTGAGGCAGGCCCCTAGCTCTTTTTTGCTTTGTTTTTTTGGGATTGGGTCTTGTGTTTATGCCCAGCTAACCTGGACAGTGATCCTCCTATTTATGCTTCCTGCATAGCTGGGATGGCAGGAGTGAACCACAGCTAGCTATCGGTTGAAATGGAGTCTCCTGAACTTTCTGCCCTGGATGGCCTTGAACACAAGGCTGATCTTGAGGCCGATCTCTGCCTCCTGAGTATTAACAGTCTTGAGCCACTGAGCCCTGCCTCAAATTTTAATTTTATATGCAGATCTTAAGAGGCATTTTGTCTTTCCCCCATCCTTCTGGAAGCTTCTGGTCTTGCCTGGTACAAGAATATGGCCAGTACCCCCCCAACCTGGTCAGCATGGACCAGAACCTCCCAGCAGATGCTCAGATCCAGCAGCATGAAAATAAAAGACCCACGGCTTATTTGTTGTTGTTTCTAGTTTTATTTTACATTTTAACCCCTTAAAATATCTCCGACATATTCTTGCCGTAATACAAAAGCATTTTTTACCACAAAAATGGAAATATTCAAACACAGGAAAACACCCTTTTACTAGTGTCTTCTTTTCCTCCACCTTCCCGGGCCCTGTGGGTCACACAGGGCCTCTCTTCTCTAAATCTGACCTTTTAGAACTCACGTGTATGTGAGATCGTGTGGTATTTGTCTTTCTGTCCCTGGCTTATTTCATTTGGCATAATAGCCTCTGGGTTCATCCATGTTTGAAATGGCCAGATCTCCCTCTTTTTTGAAAGTCTGAATAAAATTCCATTACATTTCTTTATCTCCTCATCAAAGTTATTTCCTATCAAAGGATACAAGTTGTGGTTACATAGGACAAGCAAGTCAGGAGATCTAATTCATAATAGCCAAGGCTAATAATACCTAGAAATACGGTGCTGTATACAGGGGATGTGGAGAGTGGATTTCGGGTACACACACACACACACACACACACACACACGGTAACTATGTGAACAGGTGGATATAATCATTGGCTTGACTATAATAATCACTTCAGCATATGTATATCAAAATATTGTATACCTTAACTATATACATGTTTGATCAAAGAATAAAAAGGCATTTTCTAAATGTTTAGTCCTTTCCAGATTTAACTATAAATGGACATGCATATGCTATATTGTAAGCAGCATGATGAACCTGGTATGATGGTTCACACTTGTAATCACAGCTACTTGGGAAGCAAAGATTGAGAGGATCACGGTTCCAGACCATTCCAGCAAAAATTAGCAAGACTCACCTTAACACACTAACCCAGGTGGTGGTGGCTCACATCTGTAATCCCGGGGATGATTGCAATCTGAGGTTACCCTAGGCAAAAATGCAAGACCCTATGTGAAAAATAACCTAAAACGGAAAGGGCTGGACACATGGCTCAAGGGGTAAAGCACCTGCCTAGCAAGCACAAGGCCCTGAGTTCAAACCCCAGCACCAAGCAAATAAAGAAGAGGGATTTCGAACTGGTAATCCCAGCTACTCAGGAGGCAGAGGCAGGAGGATTGCTGGTATGAGGTCAGCCCAGGTAAATTTAGGGAGACCCTGTCTCAGAAGTGAAATACAAAAACAAAAGGACTGGGGGTGGGCTCAACAGGTAAATGGCCCCCCATAGTGGGGCCCTGGTTTAGTTCCCAGTACTGGAAAAATACAAGGAATTATGAGTAAGCAGTACGCTGTAAGAGAGAATGACTTTTTTTTTTTGCAAGGAGTATCTGTGACTCTTAAAATAAAACCCACACTTGGCTTTTTGTTTCTAGTAGTGGATGTCACCTAATGCAAGGATAATGACAACTCCATGGCCTGCAGCCGCATCTCATGCACGTGTCCCAAGGAAAAGTGTTTTACTCTATTCATTCTGAGCTTCCTCTCATCCCCACTAGGGGGCACCATTGCACAGCTGGCACAGCTGGAGCTGGAACTGGGATAGCTCCATTGGACTTATGTCTAGGTCCTGGTTTCCTGATGGGAAGTCACATGGTGCCTGTTGGGTCTGAACCCAGGGTTGGGGCTCCCTCACAACACGCTGGACTCAGAGTAGCAGAACTTCTTATATGGTGGTTCAGGGCTTCAGCAGGTGCACACCATGGAGTGCAGAGCTGTTGCTTCTATAGCAGTGTCATGGCCAGAGCTGACAGAAACAGAGGGAGGGCCAGGACACTGGGCTGAAATGTCAGCCACTGCCTGCCAGCTCCTGTGGGATGTGTTAAGAGCATTTCTAAGCGTGGTGGTCATTGCTCTGCTAAATGTTTGAGAGGGATTCTCAGAGATTCTCCAGACTTCTCCCCCCCCCATAACCTCTGGTCACCTTGGTCTCCCTGACTCTCAGTTTGGCCTCTTTTCTTTGTTTGTTTGAGACTGGGTCTTACTGTGTAGCCCAGGCTGGCCTGGAATTCGAGATTCCCCTGCCTCAGTCTCTTGAGTGCTAGATTACAGGTTTGTGTCACTGAACCTGGCTTCAGTTTGTTCTCTTTAGCTCAGGGAGTCTGCAGGCTTCTGCAGCACTGTGACCTGAAACTCTCCTGGGCTGCAAACTGGGCAATTGTGGGATGCACCTCATTCATTCCCCAGATTTCAGCAACCACTGATGTCATCACCAGATGTCTATTGTCTTACAGTTAGCTGCATATTATGGATTGTCTCCTTTACAGGTGTTTCATAAGGGAGAAAAAGTGCTTTCAACTACTTCATCATGGCCAGAAGCACAAGTCCATAGCACATTCTTAACTAAAATTGACCTTATTAGCCAGGCACTGGTGCTCACACCTGTAATCCTAGCTACTTGAGGGGCTGAGATTGAGAGGATAGAGGTTTGAGACCAGCCTGGGCAAATAATTCTGTAGACCCACATCTACAAAATAATCAGAGCCAAATGGACTGGAGGTGTGACTCTGGCAGTAGAGCACCTGCTTTGCAAGTGCATACTCCTGAGTGGACCCAGGTCCCACCAAAAATTAAATAGATAAAAATTGGTCTTATTGTTCATAGAAAACAGCAACACACACTATTTTACTAAAGAAAAGCAGATGTGGTCCAAATATGTACCAAGGGAAATATTAACGCTGTTTTCTTTCATGACCTTTTGTGGAAATTGTGCTGGTTGTCCTGTACTGTGATATATTATCTTCATGCTCAAACATTTGTGTAGACATTGCCACCTTGCTGAAATCATGAAAAGGGTCAGGTGTTAGTGAACTTTTTGTCTCTATGACAAATACCCACCTGAAAGAAGCAATTTAAAAGGAAGAAAAGTTATTCTGGCTCATGGGTTCAGTCCATGGTCAGCTGGTTCTTTTTCTTTTCTGCCTATGGCAAGACAGAAACATTATGGTGGAAGGGCATGAAGGAGGCAAAGTGTCTCACCTCACAGCGGCCAGGAAGCAAAAGAGGAGGAAAGGAAAGGGCAGGGATGAGATTGCCCTTTGAAGGCCCCAGGGACCACTTCCTCCTCCTTCTGCGACCCCCTCCCCAAGTCTATTCAAATTGAGAGTTAAATTTTAATGGCTTAATCAATGAATTAAGCTATTGATTAGATCATAATCCTTATGATGTAATCCTGTCTTGAAACACCCTCAGACATACTCAGGAGATTGTGCCTTACTAATCTCCTAGGCGTCTCTCAAGCCAATCAAGTTGACAGTCAAGATTGGGCACCACAGGACCTTTTCCTAAAAGGATGAAGACAGTCCAAACATTCAATTACATCTATCTATCTGTCTGTCTATCTATCTATCTATCTATCTATCTATCTATCTATCTCTATCTATCTATATAAGTATATACATATTTATATACTTTTTGTGGTACTGGGGTTTACTGGGATTTGAACTCAGGGCTTCATGATTACTAGGCAGACACTACCACTTGAGCCACTCTGCCAGTCCTACTTTGGAATTGTGAGAAAAGAAAATTGAGTGAAGATTTTTGCTCTTATAAATCCCAGTGCCCCACCAGCCCTTTTTTGTAATGGGTTCTTTTGAGATAAGATCTCGCAAACTGCCAGGGCTGGCTTCAAACCACAATTCTTCTGATCTCTGCCTCCCAAGCAGCTAGGTTTGCAGGCATGAGCCTCCAGCACCTGGCCTCGATTTTTTTTGCCATCCTGGAGCTTGAACTCAGGACCTGAACTTCCTAGGTAGGTGCTCTACCACTTGAGCCATGCTCCAAGCCCTTTTGCTTTTTAGGTATTTTTTGAATAGGGTCTTGAGTTTATGTCTGGGCTGGCCTGGACTGTGATTCTCCTTCCTACCCTTACTGTTTATCTGGGACAGCAGGCATACTCATAACATCTACCTTTTTTATTGGTTGAGATGAGGTCTCCTGAACTTTTTGTCCAGGCTGGCCTCAAACTTCCATCCACTTCCCAAGTACTTAGGATTACAGGCGTAAGCCACTGAGCCTGGCAATTCTTTCAATTATTTCACGTATATACCCTCAGTGGGCATTGCTTGATCTCATGGTAATAGTATTTTTTCAGTTTTTGAGGACATTCATACTGCTTTCCATAGTGAATACATCATGCTATATTCCTACCAACCTTGCACAAGGGCTCCAATTCATCCCAATCCTGCTGGCATTGTTATTC